TTGGATTTTTTTTCAATCAGTGAAGTGCAAAAACTGGGGATCTATTTAGCGATAGGTGCGAAAAGCAATTATTTCCGAACTTGAGAGACTCGGTGGCAATCTATATTTCATTTCAGAAACAACACTCTGGCTCTTCTCAACAAACTATACCTATTACCTGCTGTGTAGATAGTGGTAGAAATCTATCGCTAGCCTCCACCAGGCCTTCCTACGGGGGTACGGATGGTAGAATTCTGTAAAGGGGAAAATAGTTGGGTCTAGCGGGGTCGTGTGGCGTAGCGGCAGAGTACCAAGAGGTCCCGGGTTCGAGTCCTGATCTTGTGGCCTTGGGAAAGGCACTTAACATATGACTTTCCTCACTTTGCTGAAATGCAAATGATATTGTATTGTCCCCTGTGTTAGTGGCGGCATTAACATAATTTGGAAAAAAAACCTGAGTGTGCCGTCTTGCGATTACATGTTGGAATAAAAAAACAAAAAAAAAGCCCCTAGTACTAATTCTACATAAGCGAAAGAGAATAATTTTTTCAATTGATTTAAGGATATCTGGCTACTACAGATTTTCGTTCGCCTCCATTTTATGGTACTTTTGTGGTAACATACACAAATCTTACTCTTCGTTTTAAACTCTATCCGGTACTTATGCTGTAATAATACCCTAAAACATTACGTATATGCTGTAAACGTTGTTCTATGTCACACAGGAAAACCTGATACCATCTTTAGTTTACAATACACTAACTCACAAGTCACTGGTCAGAATATGGAAGCGTCGCTAGGATGCCATGTTGACAGTACGCTGAAATATTGTTGTGCAAAACATTAGACAAAAAAACGTCACACACACCGTGCTACACAGGCATTTCCGTGTCCTTGAAAAGAAGAATGTTAAACATAAATCTAGAATCAACTATTGTTGTTAACCACACGTACGTCTCGTGGGGGGTCGTGGGGAAAAATATGAGAATTTTGCCCACAATTCAGGTTGTAAAATGTATTACAACGGTACAGGTGCAGTATGTTCAAGGCATAGTGCTGTCTTACCTATATCAGGCTTCGAAAGCGGCTGGAAAGAGTAGAAATTGGCCAAATAGTGAGATAACATGCCAGGAATGTTGGTCTGCTAGACGAGTACAGTTTGCCGCACCCGCACTTGGCCAATTTCTACTCTTTCCAGCCGCTTCCCGAAGCCTGGTAGAGGATACGTACGTCCTATCCACAGTAGTGTGGATAGTGTGTAACAGGTAAGTAGAGAAGATGTGCTGATATCCAAGTCAAAACAAAAATTATGTAAAATATTCCTTAGCCACAATTGTGATCAAAGTACCACTGGCTTTATCATAACATTTAAAAACACATTTAAAATATAAAAACGCAACATAAGATACGACAAGATAAGTGTGTGTCATCTTGCACGTTCTCGCTCGGTATCTATCCGCCCTGACGCTCTAGCGTACACATATGATAAGTCGTTATCATATATGTAAGCTAGAGGGCATGCCGCATACCGGTATCACACATGCTCTGCCCCTGGCAACAAGGTCACACACCTCCGACCCGAATGTTGAACGTTTGGACTTTATCAGGCTTAACGAGAGACAATTCGTCTGTAGGTGAAAACATACCACCCAAACAAGTCAATAATCACCAGGGCATTTATATACAGTACATAGAGTCCAGTGCTATTTCAGAGCAGTCTCGACTATAGACCCCTTTGCCCTAATCATGGGGTCATAATTATTCGCTAAGCAGTAAAAGAACATTCTAATTCGGTTAAGGATAGACTGTTTTATGCATATTTACGTAACTTCTAAGGATTATCATAATTTATGCAGCCCGCTCCTCCCACGAACTAACGGTACTCACCAAAGTGTCCATTCAGTATTCATCCGCCAATTTTATATTAGTTCATTCTTCCAGCCTTTCTCCTTCCTTCATTTCTTTCCTCCTTCTTTCACTCACTTAGTCAGCCCACAGTCCTTCTCACCATTGACGCTTTGAAAGAATTACTGCCTTCCTTTTCCACTTTGTCATTCAGGGTATAAGTTTATGGGACTTGTACCCATCCCAGCATCCCTTGCGTTCCACATTCCATGATACATTGAACATATTACAGATGGCTGACTGTAACTGTAAAAAAACAAGTATGTAGACTTGTCATATTGCATTTGACAGTGTAACAACTGATACAATTTGATCAGTTAATTTTCCTATAATATTTATTAGAGACAAGCATTACTCAAATTATGCTGCTTTATTCTCATTTTATGGCCGGTTTGCTTAATTTGTCTATATAATATAATCTACAAACTATTATCTTATATTAATTGTCAAGAAATATCATTTATTGCTTACAGTCAGCCATCTGGAATGTTGATTGCAAAGGATGATGGGTGGGTTCAAGTACTAGTATCCCCCTATATAGCTAGGACTAGAAGTTGAACAATTTTGTGGACTTCTCACCACATGTCGGTACGCCTTATCAACCCAATCACTGAGTCAACAGAAAACTCCGGCTTATCACACCTGTATGTTTACAGACGTGCTTCACAAAGAGTAACCTGTTTGATCAAGGCAAACTCTACAATCTACCGAGAGTTCATAAAACAGCCAACAGTCCACAAAAGTCCAATCTCCCACTGACTTTAAGTCTTCGGCAAACCTGGTAAGGGGTTTAGCTCATGCAAATGGTCACCAATAAATGTCCTATAGCTGCCAGATACTTCAAAACTTGCTGTAAAGGACAGATGTCGTCTCCTGAAATGTTTTGAAGCCACTTATGCAAGGGGGTGGGGAGGTCACCTACGACCGAAACATGTAAGAGAGTAAATAGTGTATGTAAAATGTTTCACTCTACCTAAGAATGTCTCGAAATGTAACATTTTTACTACGCGTGAATATCGAAAGCACTGCGAAGAAGGAAAAGTGAACAGATGAAGAAGACCACAATGATAACGTAAAATATTATATTGATCCTCCGTGATATTTTGATATAGCTAACAATATAGTCAGCGAAGGTTAAGTGACAAAGTCTAGCTCTACATGTACATTGTACATACGCATGATAGGACCTCTTGCACCTGGTTGAGTTTTGTCCATAGCATGCAAGTGCAACTGTACGAGGGTCACAGACCCTTCTGACATGAGAGATATGAAAAGTTAATATGTATCTACCACTGGCTGTGTCTGAGTACTCACTGACTGTTATACCGAGGGTAAAGCGCAGGGATGACATTACATGTTGTTGAAAACACAGAGAAAGTAGAGCTGTTTAGGTTGAAGCACAAAACGATGACAGGGCGCAAATCGGAGAGATACACAAGTACTCGGAACAGGAGCACTTAGCAAAGTAAACCTAGTGGAGTGGAGGGCCACGAACAGGTGACAAAACATCACCTGGCAACGTCCTCATGCACAGTCTGAAGGGGAGAGATAACTATCAACATGAAGACAGGTGGTCCTGGCAAGATTGTCTTGTGGTTAGGGTTGTTGACTCAGGATCCCAAGGTTCTGGGTTCGAATCCCTGGCAGGCAGCATTGTTGTGTCCTTGGGAAAGGCACTTAATACCTATGTCATCACTTGACTCAGGTGTAAATGAGTGCCTAGCTTTGCTTATATTAGGGGCGTCTTCTCAGATAGGAGGCCCTATAGGCCCTGTGTTTAAGGAGAGTCACACCTTGAGCATGTTAAAGATCTCAACACACTTATCTAGAAAAGCGCATGGGTCCTTCCCGGTATGAGTGGTTCAAACCTTACAGTCCAATCTCAGGTTTGACATCTTGAAGAGTTACGTCAAAAAGCAGTTACTCAAGCAATTGGATATGATTTTGGAAACGGTCAGACATTTCAGCTAGCATCCACTAGCTTTCGTCAGTGACTGAGAGACCAGAGGAGAAATGCAGGTTTATAAGCACAGACTATTCATAGTTTGGCGTATTTTTTTACCTGGATGTCTAACCTTCATCGACGTATCTTGAAGAGTTATTTCATTCCTTCCACAAACGTGGCATGTGGTAAATATTCATAATAAAGTACAGCTACTGCCATGACAGTAACAAAATTTACTGACTACATAAAGCAAGTATTACGTTGTAGTTTATATTCTACTTTTCTCTAATTTGTTATCCTGGTAATTGGAACCTACTGAATTAGAGATAGTCATTTTACTAGGGTTGAATCAGAGCGAAGGGTTTCCAAGAGGTATATATTGCCAAACAATGTTTAATGTGATTTATTTAATGTTACATCAAAACTACCAACAAACAGTTCGCTTAAAGATAGAAACTTAGTACAAGTACGCTATGCAATTATATACAAAACTGTCCCGTTATGAAATCGACAAAGTTGACAGGTATTCAACAACATGTTTTTCAATCAAACTGTCCACAAAAACGGCGTAACAAAAACAACTCTCTCAAGATGATGAAATATTGAGACTTAACAACATTGTTTGTAGCAACGTGGGGTATGTTTTCGCTGTGATGTAGGTTCAGCTGGCAAACTTTTTTCACGGCACCCCATGCAGAGCTCTTATGGGAATGTGAATCAGTAGTACACTGCTATGTTATGTATACACGTATGTGCCCTGATATATTTGGTAATATGGGTGGTTTTGCGAACACTTTTCTACGCAAAGCAAATGCATAATGTTTACCTTCGCATATGGTCTGCTCTGTTACTTCTAACTCAAACACATATTCAAACCTATATACATGGTCAGACAGTAGTCTAAATCCCTCCTGCTATAAAATTGCAACATGATGTAACCCAACACTAGTTACCATGGTGACAGACGTCAGGTTCAGGGCATTGACCTTGCATGTATTCACTTGGAGAAGAAGAAGAGGAAGAAGAGGAAACAGGGCAAAAACAATATATTTTCCTTCTGCGAAGCCAAACAAAATTATATTGTAAGACTTAAAACCAATCTGATACAAAAACTTGAACTAGCATCTATATTGTAAAATGTAAGACTTTATGCACGCCAGCTCATTCAATGGTTGATGTTTACAATGCCAGGAGGAGGATCATGGCGCTAAACAAGATGGCGGCCATGTTGGTGACCGCCCTGTCCGCTGTGCCTCTCAGCTGGTTGTAGCTGATGACGTTACAGTCAGCGGAGTCATCACAGCACTTCTCGTACTCCGTCTCTCCGCCGGCCGTGTCACGGGAGAAGACGCCGTCTCTGTTGTCGTCGGTACAGGCGCCGCTGTGACATTTACGCTCAAAGATAATGATGGCGCCGTCTGTGTCTTCCCGTAGGATTGTCTGTGGATTCAGTACATAGACTTCAGTACAGAGAACAGGTTAACGCACTTAAAGAACCCACCACACCTTTCGAAAAAGAGTAGGGACATACATGCTCCGTTGTGCGACGGTCCAAATACTAAAATCTGAAAGTTGGTGATTCACTACGGACTCCAGGAAGAATAGTGTCGAATTTACACTAATGGTATCCTAATTAAAACAAAACAAACAAACAAAGGAGCAAACATACAAGTGTATATATTTCGGATCATGAATATGATTTCAATGCATGGCAGTTGTACTATACCAACATGAAGGCAAACACCGTACAGGAATGATGATTGGATATTGGTCATGATCGCCACCAAAAACCACAACATTCCTATTGTTCGCTGGGGCATATTGACATTACATGATGGACATAAACCACATTGAGATGTGACCTGTAAGATATCTGACGGGATACTTACAATGCAGACTCCAACAGGACACGGCTGTGACATCGTCATCATCGGTCCGATCAGGCAGGAGTCATTCAGAGCAGAGGTGTTAGTGGCACTGCAGACGATACAGTTGGATGCCTGTATACATGTAATGGAACGAAACAGCATAAGTTTGATTGAGAATATTCTAGAAACATTCCTTCATCTCGCCTTAATTGAGTCATCTTGTTTGAAAATTTTCCAACGAAAATACACCTGCATGTCCGAGAAAAGCCGAAATCATAACCATCTCGTGACAGCGCATGACATTTCTCTACATTACCATAGAATGCCGCTAGGAGGCCCGTACGATCGACCGTGTCAACTCAACACCTACCCACACACCAAATATCATAACCATCCAAAAGCATCCTCCTCAGTTATGCCAAAGTGTTTAAAGAGACATTTGAACTCATCTACTTGGTTATGCCTCGGTGAAACATGGAACAAACATGGAACAAAGTGAACCGAAAACATAATCTTTTAAGCAACGTTCACAACATGAGCCAGCTTACCAAACCAGCGGGAGTGGCATCCGAGGGGAGCGTGATGGCGACAGTAGTAGACACGCCAGCAGCGGTAGACGTGCTGTCAACTGCAGTCACAGCTGCTGTTGCAAATGTTCCATCAGGAGCAACTGTACGAGTGATGGTGGACGGTCCGGTTGCACCAGTGGGTGTAGATGTTACGTCTGTAGTTACATCTCCTGTTGATGATCCACTAGCAGAAGTTGTACTGGCTGTGGTAGATTGAAAGCCTGCTGCTGTCGTGTCACTGATGGTAGATAGCACTGCAGTAGTAGCTATACTGACAACGGTAGTTGGCACAGTGCTTGCAGTAGTGACAGGCTGGTCAGTTGTTGCAGTGTCAGAAGTGGTTGTCACGTCAATTAACGCTGTACTGGCGGTGGTTGTTGGCACGTTAGTTGTAGCACTGGCTGTGGTTGTTGGTGTGTCTGTTGTAGCACTGGCTGTGGTTGTCGGTACCTCGGTTGTAGTACTGGTTGTGGTTGTACTGGTTGTGGTTGTTGGTTCATCAGTTGTACTGGTTGTGATTGTTGGTGCGTCAGTTGTACTGGTTGTGGTTGTTGGTTCGTCAGTTGTACTGGTTGTGGTTGTTGGTTCGTCAGTTGTACTGGTTGTGGTTGTTGGTGCGTCAGTTGCACTGGTTGTGGTTGTTGGTGCGTCAGTTGTACTGGCTGTGGTTGTTGGTTCGTCAGTTGTACTGGCTGTGGTTGTTGGTTCGTCAGTTGTACTGGCTGTGGTTGTTGGTGCGTCTGTTGTAGTACTAGCTGTGGTTGTTGGTACCTCAGTTGTAGTTGTACTGGCTATGGTTGTTGGTACGTCAGCTGTAGTACTGGCTGTGGTTGTCAGTACCTCAGTTGTAGTACTGGCCGTGGTAGTTGGTACGTCAGTTGTACTGCTGGTTGTGGTTGTTGGCACGTCAGTTGTAGTACTGATTGTGGTTGTCGGTACCTCAGTTGTAGTACTGGCGATGGTTGTCGGTACGTCAGTTGTAGTACTGGCGATGGTTGTCGGTACGTCAGTTGTAGTTGTACTGGCTATGGTTGTCGGTACGTCAGTTGTAGTTGTACTGACAGCCGTAGTTGTCTCCTCGGTCGTGGTTGTAACAGCGGCCGTGGTGGTCAGAACACCGGTAGTTGTACCGATGGTTGTAATCGGCCCAGGAGTCGTTGTACACACAGTGGTTGTGACAGGAAAACATGTAGTGACTTGTGCTGCGTACAACAAAATCCACATTCATGCCAGATAGATCTTCAATCAATTATAATTCAAACTAATAACAACATTCTTGACGTAATAAAAGAACTGGTCTGTAAACAATTTATACGAAGGTAACGTCTTCCCTTAGAATTAAACTTTTGAAGAGCACAAACTTCATTAAAGAAACAAAAGTATACTTACTTCGTAAGGTTTCCTACAACTGAACACACAAACTAATGATTATTTATGAAAAACACGTACCTGTAACCAGGCAACAGTGTGCCATCAGGCTCAGCAAGACAAGCGACAGGGTCTTCATGGTTGTAGGATGGACACGTTGTTTTCAAACTGTTTTTAATATTGAACTGTTTAAAGAAAATGATCAACTTGTATATGGATTTATCGCAAACTTGAATTTATTAGAATAAAGGAAATTTGCCAGGTGATATTTCGTAGATTATCACGACCTCTTAAGGGAACGAATATTTGTTCGTAAAGCTTGTATGAAAACGCTAGCCGTAGCGAAGTTGGATTGCACTGTCAGACACTGCCAGCTATCGAAAATAAACTTCGTCCTCAGTCTGAAGTCATAATCATCGATCATAAACCAGTTAAGAACCTTTTGTCAACTTCATCGTTAGAGTAAGTAAGAAGATAGAACATACCTGTGTGTGGGTCTGCTGACACTACTCTTGAAATCAGGGCGTTTTGTTATGTGGTCAAGATTTAAAGGATGTCTCGTGGTTGTGTTAGCAACGCGTCTTCTGTGTAAAGTCCTTAAGAAGTTTGGAAAGGTCGAGAGGTAAAAGCACAGGCTACTCTTCAAAGTTCCAAAACTAACGCGTGGGATCATTTGGCGTAATGGATGGGTGTTTGGCCTAGAACCCAGAGGTCCTGGGTTCGAATCCACCAACATGCCTCGGTGATGTGCATTTGGATAAGGCACTTTAAACGACTTTCCTCGCTTCACTCAGGTGGAAATGAGTACCACTCATCAATATCCAGACCAGTCTATGATACAAAACAAGCAACCGTTTTCTGTTGCGACGCTGCATTTTTGCCTCAGTATGCTATTGCAGACCAGAAAATTGAAATTGACTTTGAAAGTCCAGTATTACAGTGGATGCCTTTAAGCCTTGTGTTATTTGTTACAGCATCATGTTGTGTTAAGTAAATCCTACCGCTCACCGTACCTGACCTAGTTCTATCATCCACCAACAATTCAATTCATTAACATTGTGGAGTTCTTTGGTAACCGAAGTACGTCAGCGTCAAGGGGGGCAGCGGTAAATTACGAAAACATATTATTTTTGCTCAGTTTCTTCCTCTTCGTCTTCTTCTCCAAACAGTGATCCTCTGACCTGACCAATGACATGATTTGTTGACGTCTGTCACCATGGTGACTGGTGTTGGGTTGCATAATGTTGCAATTTCATGGTCTGCTCTGCTCCTGTCACCATATACTAGTAGTACATGTATGTGAATGTGTTTGAATAAGAATTAACAGAGCAGACCCTGTCTGAAGGTAAACATTATACATTTGCTTTGCAAATGTTACTTCTCTAGTTTGCTATATTTTATGTCAATTTGGTGGTTGGGCCTAGTTGACCAGGGCGGTGAGCCGAGTTGACCAGATTTGCGATGGACTGAGTTGGTAATGGTCCGAGTCGTCCTGCCTGATTCCGGATGGCAACCAGGCTAGCTTTTTGGCAAAACACCAAAGGCCTCTTTGACGGGATTTACAGAACTCAGAACTGTAGGAACCATAAGAGACCAAACGTCACCAGGCAACGTTTATTTAAGCACGACAGCTGCCCCACCTGGCGACTTGTGTAAATATTGACTCATTGCTTTGCAATTAGCAGGGGCCAAAATACAGGTATGCGTCCTGCTTGTGTGCAAACATAGGTCTAATCACATGCATAGTCTGAGTGACTGGTGAGAAGTATACCTAGGCTTACGAAAATTACTGTTGGGTTTCCTAGTCCTAAAAATTAGGGTCGGTAGATTTTAATTTTTGAGATTTCGGCTAAGATGATCCAACAAATAAAGTTTAACAAGGAATTATATCTGTCTCAAGGACCCATCTACCTGTTTGCCTTTGGATAGATATTTGGCCTTTGGAAAGATGCAGATATTCTGCTCAGAAATTGGAAGCTGGTCCACCGCGACGCCTGTCGAGTTCGATATCTATTGCAAGCAGAACAGAAAACACCCCATACTAATTTGCTAAGGTTTGTCAATTTTGAAAAATGACTCTACTCGAAGATAGCGATATCTTTGAACGTGAATGATTCTTTTGGTGAAATGAACTGTTGGTAGATGTGATACATTAATTTTGTTAAGAGATGCGGTACCAAAGTTTACACACGAAAGGGCATGTATACACTCCTAAAATCACATAACCCACGCATTGCAGAAAAAGCGAGACCCTTCGTCTTCCACTTCTTCCCAAAAAAGTCAAAACCCAACAAATGTATATAGATGAAAAACATCAGGAATTGAACATAAAAGTAGCCATGTGCCACACATTGTCATGTGAAGCAGCTTCAATTGAAAACGACAGACGTCTTGGCTCCATACAAGAATGTCTCAGGCGTTCCATCTCAACAGTTTGAGACACAGAAATCTATATCTTGTAGTCTTGACCTGGAAGAAACATCGATCACAACTCCGCTGGAGGACTAAGGGCCGTTTCTGGTGGCCGTAAATTACGCCGTGGTCCCTACCCTGGTTGCCAAACTAGTATCGAGCCGCTAACCCTTTCGCGTCGGCAGCCAAGAGCCCTTCGCCCGCCGGTCTAAATTACCTCTACCGGGAGTTGAGCCCGAGGGGAATTTGATATTTGGCTGGCCCTAGAATTTGTGGGGCCAGCCAAACTCCGCCAGGCTAGACTCCCCCGTAGCGGTATTAGACCGGCGGGCGAATGGCTCTTGGCTGCCGAAGGAAACGGCTATCAGCCCGAAACGAGTTTGGCACCCAGGGTACGTGGTCCCCGGCAGGGTCGCGTGCTGGCTATCCGTCTGTCTGTGCGCAGTCTGGCCGGTTAGAGACGGAATAAATAAAGGACGACATGCCCTGCATACGTAATGTTTGTAAGAAATAAACAGAAGAATAGACCAACTGCCAGCACATACTGAGCGCCACAACGTTAACACGAACCCATTGTCATCCTTCGTTCATTATGTTTACCGAAGGAAAACATATTGTTTTTGCTCAGTTTCTTCCTCTTCGTCTTCTTCTTCTCCAAACAGTGACCTCTGACCTGACCAATGACATGATTTGTTGACGTCTGTCACCATGGTGACTGGTGTTGGGTTACATAACGTTGCAATTTCATGGTCTGCTCTACTCCTGTCACCATATACTACTAGTAGTACATGTATGTGAATGTGAATGTGTTTGAGTAAGAATTAACAGAGCAGACCATGTCCGAAGGTAAACATTATGCATTTGCTTTGCAAATGTTACTTCTCTAGTTTATTTATCTATTTCATCACAAAACCGCTGGGTAGCCTATTCAGCTAGTAGAAGCTGCTTTCCAATGGGGCCCAGCATACATTTACACAAGACAAGGCATGATTCCACTTTTGAATGACTCTGTAAAGTAGATTATCCTTAGACACGTATCCTACTACAGATGTATTTATTGTCATTACCTTCGACAAGAAGGTTATGTTTTCGATTTGGCCATGGTGTGGGTCTGTATGTATGTCAGCAGCATAACTCGATAAAAAGATAAGAAGGAAATAGATGGATCTTAATGATTTTTGGTAAGTGGTTGTGAAAATGTAGCTCAATGTCGAAAATGGTTCGCCTGGTTTTTCCTAACGGTACTGCAGCGGACCTTTTATTAATTGTCGTGTTGATACCAATATCCATGACTTTCACTTCCCATTTGACGACATAAGCATAGGTGAGGACGACCACGTGCTCTTGTCTCTGTGGCATGTTTATTGTACAGACACACGCACGGACATACAGAGAGAGGGGGAGGGAGAGGGAGAGAGGGGGAGAGAGAGAGAGAGAGAAAGAGGGAAGTGGGAGAGAGAGGGAGGGATAGGGAGAGAGAGGGAGGGTAGAGGGTAAGAGAAGGGGTAGGGAGAGAGAGAGAGAGAGAGAGAGAGAGAGAGATGCCAAAAACAACACCACCGCATCTTTCATGATTTCAATTTTGATAACAAGTTGATAGATTACGTAATGCTTTCTTTCGGTTCTTTCCCGTGTTGTATGGAATCTCCTGGGCCGGTGTTGGCAACCTGTCCTTTGAGTAATTAGCCATGACGGGTACATTAAAACTTGATAAGGTTATTTTCACGCCTATGTTGATAGGCTGTATTGTTGATTTGCGTTTTCTTATCTCCCAAAACTGTCACCACACTCCCAGAATGGTCACGACCTAATCCTTTCTAAGTCCCGTCCGTCGCTCACGTAATTGAAAATTTGAACGTCTAACCTTCACCAACATAGCCTGGCTTTCCAAAGTCATTCCACAACCGAAATAGACCTTTCCCAGAAAGAAAGCTGGGAAAGATGCAGCGTTGATAGGGATAGATAGCTTTCAGGTTCAGAATTGCAATGCATTCCAAATATGCTTAAGTTCCATTTGCTGTGAATCCACCATGGGATGCTCACACCCTCGCCATCTCAACTATTAATCCACTACATTTCAGTCACTCTTTTGGTCAATCTTACTAAGGCCATGTTGATCTGACAATACTAGTATATGGATGTCATCCTCTGGGAACCCCAAAACTGATGCGAGCGTGCGAATAAAAAAAGTTTGGCTAAAGACAGGTATGTTGCCTTTATTATGAAATCTACGTAGTCATGCAGGTCGTATATTAGAGATTCTTCATTTTCATTTCTTCACATTTTCTTCCTTTCCTTCGTAATTGATTTTGGCATTCTAAGACATTAGTATCGTTTTCCAATATTGCAATTTGCAGCATATATCTGCTCATTTTGTAGCTGCTTTCTACGATTTAAAGTATGGGTGAAAACTTAAAAAGGACGAAAATTCATGCGAGGGGATGTCATCCATGTGATCAAATCAACATGGCCTTACCCAGGCTTTGAGACACAGACAAAAGACATCCTCGAATGACTGGAGCCAACACAATCGATTCTTCTGTCTCGATCTTGTTGTCCCCAGGTCATCTAACGACATGTTACGCAGCAGTCCTGTTCATGTGACCATCTGGTGGTTAAGTTTGGAGTTGACTGAGACGGAGTGCGTGCAGGTACAGCGATATGACAATCCGCCATTGTTTCGAGTGACAGTAACAAACACCTACTACTTTGAAAGTTAGCGGAAACGTTACGTTTTATACCTTT